TTGGAAAAGGAAGAGACGCATGGTGCGGGTGAGCGCGAGAGGGTTCGGAAGTTTCTGCGTCTTCCTTCATTTTCTTTCTTGTACGTATAACGAAGTCAGTCAAAGAAACGCAAGGATTAGTAGGTGGTGCAGAGGCGCTGCAGGCAGGGATTCATGAGCACTTGGGCACGCAGGTGCACTCACTTGGTATGGGAATATGGTCGCTCGCCTTTCCCTTTTGAATGCTCGCGCTTTTGACGAAGAAAGATGGAGATGATGAAAAGAAGCATTTGGTGCGGGAAACTGCTCTCTCTCTTTCCGCTTTTCTACTACATTGTCACAGGGGGAAACCATCATGTTCTCGTGCTCGGCACCCTGATTCGCACCTGTAGGGTTCTCAATACGCTTCGACCTAATGAGCAAAGTTGCCTAGAAATTATTTGTTTATTATTTTATTTAGTTATATAATTCTGAAAATTATATACCCAGCTTTTTCATTGCTAGAGAGAGAGAGAGAGAGAGAGAGAGAGCGGTCTCTTCTCTAAAAGCCTTAGCAGATAATAAGACAAAGCTACATAGGAGACTTTTCCCGCAATATCATATATACACTTTAAAGTTACGAAGTGTCATAGGCATTCATGATGCCCCTCGAAATGTCGTAGATGCACCTCTGAAGTTGATCATTTGCTGACCATCTTCTTCATTTTGAGAGCATAGGTGAGTTTTCTATATTTTGAAGGGTACATGTACAATAAAATGAAGCATCACACCAACACGAAAATGAATTATCCTCGTTATATATCCCCACAAAATGAATATACTGAAAAAATTGTATACTTGATTTGAAATCCTCCAAAATGCTCATCTATCGGCTCCCTGAAAGCCACAACTGGTGGTGTATTTGTGTAGCTTTCATGTCTTGAAAGGGCATGAGGAAAAGTATTGGAAATCCACAGCATACCATATTGTTATATTTGATGAATTGGATTAATGATAGTGAGAGGATGTGATTCTTCTGATGATGGAGGTCCTCACGGAAACGTTCAGCTTATTTGACTGTATACACTAAGAGGGGGTGAATTAGCGAAAATAAGGAAAGATTGAAGTCAAAAGCTACTTCGCTGCTGTTCGCAGATCAACTATGAATTCTGGATGCACCAGTGAAAGACAATGGGTCGACATAGTTGACATGCACCGGTTACACGATCTAACAAGCACGATCGTATGATCGACACCTTGTTTCTGGTCCAACGGAGTTACCTTGGGCTACTCTTGGTGCCTGTCGTCGTCACCAAGGGAGGTAGTTTGTAGTAGAACTGCTGCGGCTTCATCGAGGGGTGCTGCCCATGCAAGCTGCTGTCAATGGGAATAGCGTTGCATACGTACCTGACGGGGAGGAGGCAGTTGGCGAGGAGGGCATCGCTGGTTACCTGATAGCTCTCGTAGTACCTCGGCGTCGGAATCCGGTTCAGCACCTCCAAGTCGAGCTCGATGAATTCTTCTTCGTCTTCATCGATAAGGTTCTCTTCCTCTTTTTGCTGCTGGTTATTAGGGTTTACCCTAACACCTGAGGCACAAGCCATCGCTGCTGCTACTGCTGCTTGTGGTGTGTGTGCTTCCTGTTTGGGTGATATATATGCATGCAAAACTTATTAGGTGTTGGTGGCTGCCATCCAACAAATCTGCAGGTATGGTAAGTCGAGTTGGTGAGTGTGCCTTCCAGCTGCTGCACTTCAAGTTCAGGTGTTGGGTGGAGAGGTTTAACCATATAGATTTGTGGAACTACTAATTGAAGAGAAAGGCATGGAGATGCTTGATCGATACACCATCCATCCTACCTAATGATATGCCTACCAGTGACTTCCCTTTTACTAAATTTGAAACTGAAATGGAATCCATTTCATGCATGAGGTTCTATTTTTGGTTCAGAATCCGATTGTTCCGATTTCAATTTAGGAATCAACCATTTCGATTCTGAACCGACACTATCTATTTTTATTTTTTATTTTTTATTTTTTTGATTCAAAAATTTAATTCCGATTCAAATCAAATTTATTGATATATTATGTATCTGAAATTATGTATATTCTAAACATCATATGAATGTTAATTTAATTGAAAATTTTAAAATATTTTTAATATAATTTTGAAAAATTTTAAAATATTTTTTTACTAAATTTGAAATTGAAATCAAATCCATTTCATGTGGTTCTATTTGATTGTTCCAATTTCAATTTGGAAAACCATCTATTTTAATTTTTAATTTTTAATTTTTTTGATTCAAAAGTTTAATTCCGATTCAAATTAAATTATAATCAGATCAATTGATCTATGATAAATGTGAAATTATGTATAATCTAAAGAATGATATTTTAGGGTACGTTTAGGAATGAATACATTTCGATTGTGCATTGAAGACCCAATGCATATTTCAAATGTAGATTAGTGTTTGGAAATTCCCAATTTCAATTTGGGAATCAATCATTTCGATTCTCTACCAAAATCATCTGTTTTGATTTTTAATTTTTTATTCAAAAGTTTAATTCCGATTCAAATCCAATCATAGTCGGATCAATTGATATATGATAAATGTGAAATTATGTATATAAACATCATATGAATGATATTTTAGGGTGCATTTGTGAATGAATACATTTCGAATGTGGACCCAATGCATACTTCAAATGAAGATTAATGTTTGGAAATTCTTTTTCAAATCACATCTGGTCTTAATACTGTATTGGAAATACTCATATACTACTTTAGGATAGTATTAGTACTAATCTTTGCATTTTCAGGATACTAATGTAATTTTTTAAGTTTCAAAAATACCTTGTAACTTAATCTAAAATTATAATATTACCAAAATAATTTAGTAAGATAAAATATTTTTAAGATAAAATTTTATTTATTTATTTATTTCTAAAGATTATTTTATATTTATTTATGTGATTATATATTTTTATTTATTATATATTTGGGCCATACAAAATTTTTATAAGATTACATACATTCATTTTTATTATTATATATATATTTTTATTTATTAATTTAATTAAAAAATATATATTTATTTTTGAATAAATATTAAGAACATCAGAAGAGTAAACTTATCAAAAATATTCAATGAACTTTTGAAATATAATTTTATTGAATAAAATATACATTAATACATATTTAAAATACAATTTTCATCTATTATTTATCAGATACTCAAAGCATTCAAATCTCTTTTTCCAACTAAACATTAGAAATGCAAACATGTTCTCAAATATAACTTTTAGGTTTGTGCATCCTAAAACACTTAAGGAAAGATTACAACGACCAATTTCATAGAACCTTATCAATTTGGAGACGAAATTAGAGGCAGTATGGATACATTAATTAGATTTAAAAGATAAGAAGAAGATAAAAGAAGCCATTGTTAGCTTAGCTTAGCTTAGAAAGATATTGACGCTTAGGATTAAATCTAGTTTTGATGTTCCCGATAAACAATATAATATGAATAAGAGATGATATATGATATGCATTTTTGTTCCAATCCTTCGGCATTAGGGAGAAGTTGATGATGCCATATTTACGTTTTGCATTTGACATAAATACAAAAGAAAAACATAATAATTAAGCGACCCAATTATATAGAATAAGATGATAAGCCGTAAGGGGTTTAATAAATGTTGGCACTCGATTTGTAAGATCTAATGCACTTCATACCTTAGATCCTAATGCACTTCATACCTTAGATCCGAATCATAGATCACGTTGACTGAGGGAGGAACAATAACACATGAAATATAGGACAAGACAAGATTTATAGTAAATCTGTGTGTAGGAAAATCTATGAAACACGGGAAAGGACAAATCATTAGAAAACAAATGCATATGATACTTAACTCATTATTGCAAATGCCACACACTTTCTACCACTAATCCCCATGGATTAGTGTCTCATCCATCTCTCTCTATATTAATGACCATGAAATCTTAATTCATGTGTCTCTTAAATAATTGTCCTTCTATTCACAAAAAAATACTTGCATCTCAATTGATCTAATCGAACTCGATTCATCCACTTACATATATAAATATATATTGGATTTTGATGCACAAGACTTCATCCTAATTCAATCTATCTAAAATTGCTAAGTGTACCTCTCATCATTTTGCTAATAATATAGTATCCAAACATTAAAGGAGGCATTGACATTTGCCCAAAAATATATAAACATTTAAAGGAATAAGATCTATTGGATTACAAAAATGACTGTCTACTTTTTTTTTTTCCTATAATATAACTTTCTTCGTAACAATGTAAATACAAACACTTAGTAAGCAAACGCGGAAAGCACAAAGTAGGATAGGCCTCCTTAGTACTAGACATAATTTCTCTTTTCTCGTCTCCTTTCACCAATCAATCAAGGACTTTAGAAGTTAAAGGAATAATCGAAAATAAATAAATCTCCCAACTATCTAAGAAAGAGAGAGAAAAACTTGAACTAATTAAAATATTTTGATAATTTGAATAAAATCAATTATAAGACTATCTAAACTCAATCTTTATTACAAATCCCCTTACACAATTTTTACCTGAGTCTCGAAGAATTTAAATTTTTTTCTCTCACCCTCTTTAAATTTTTAACACCTTAAAGAAAATTTAAGTAGCATATAAAGTAATTCTCATATTTTATTTTTTTCAACAAAATATAGAGATACATAATATATTCATAAAAGAATCAAACCCCACGACTCTTTTTTCCTAGGATTTTGTGTCTTAATGAGACATTGACTCTACAAATCTTAATATACTTACTGTCTCAACCCAAAAAACAAATATAAAATATAGAAGACATAAAATGATTCTTGAAGCTATGAAATTTACACAAGGGACATTGTAGAAGAAGATAGTCTATTGTAACATACTCATCAACAATCTTATGGTCATTATTTACGAAAAAGAGGTAAGGATTTGATGGACAATCGACTGACTGCTTAGTTTCTTCGTTCTCCATCAAATTGTGTGCTAAAAGATAAAAGAGAGGTAGTCGTCCATAAATTATGTATGTCCATAAATATATACACCTTGCTCTAAGAACCCTAATCAGAGCGGCTAGCTTTCACCTGCGACATTCGGACGTACGCAACATTAGATGCATGTGGAACAAACAGGAGGAGTTAACATGATCTCCTCTCAAACCCTAATAGCCGAACAGGCGATAACCTGCCTGCGGATATCCTTTTCTTGGTCTCCGATATCGTCTCCAGCTTCGGCGACCATGGGTGATCTCTCGGCCCGACGAGCTGCGAGTAGTGCTTCCTCAACTCCGGCGTAGTGCACAGAGTCCCCCCGTCGCTGCCACACTTTTGTCCGTCTTCGACAGAGGTGATGACCTTGGTTATGAACTCCGGGAGCACCTTGATCAGCAGCCGGCCGTCTTCGCCCTTCACGTACTCAAAGGGGGATTCCCCGTTGCCGGCCAGCGACGGCTTGGTGCGGCCGGAGGACAGCGAGGCGAGCGACACAGCGGTGAGGGGATCGTGGCACGAGAACTTGTCGATGGGAAGGACGAAGTAGGCCTGGCCAGGGAGGAGCTCGTCGTCGATGGAGAGGACGGGGACGGGGTGGCCGATGTAGAACGAGTCAGCGTGGCAGACGATGCGGTCCGGGAACCGGAACATGAGCTGCCCGGCGAGCTGCTTCTCGGCCAAGAACTCGGTGGCGCCGCCCCAGAAGATGAGCTTGACGAGGCCGCCCTTGGAGGCGGGGTTGAAGCAAGGAGAGATCCCATTGCCCATGGTTAAGATGGAGAAGAAGAAGAAGCCAAAGATTATGACTTTGAGAGGGCTGAAGAACGGAGGAAGAGCCACTGGTGAGTAATTATATAGGAAGGGGTGGGAGGCGGGTTGACTTGGACTATTCCATGGTTTAGGTCTTTGATCCGGTCGGTGGTCAGACGCCATGACGTTGCTGGGAAAAAGTCAACTGTCTACGAGGATATATCACCACCTATCTTCTTCTATCTCTACTTGTGTTATACATAAAAGTCTCACTTTGGAATAGTTTATCATCCAACAAAATCGTTATATTATATTATATTAGATGGATTTTGATCCTAAAAACTTGAAATGATGATTATTACCATCTAAACTAGCCAATCAATACATAAAAATGCATTGAATTCATTGCATGATTTAGTTGGACTCGGTCAACCGCAATTATAAATGCACACATAGAGTGTGGGTTGGAGGGAGCCACGTCCTAAAGCAAAGAAAAATATAGGGTTAGAATTGTTGAATGTGATTGGTATGAACCTAAGAAGATGGCTCCATTGTCAATGATATCAGCCAGTTTGATTTGGTAACATGTCGGCCGTGATTTGATTTCCCAAGTATTTTAAGTGGGTTGAGGATGAAACGTGTGATCGGTGGTGTATCCAAGTGACTTGGATGTGGATCGAGCGAATGATAGGGAGATTAGATTTGGCTAGGCGACATCGATTTTGTATGCTTAATTAACATGTTCCAACTGTCGACATCAATTTTGTATTATAGATTCGCGTAATATTGATTTTGATTTGATGATGAGAAGTGCACCAGACTCACTTATTAAAGATTGAATATTCAAAGTTTCATATGATATATTTCAAAAATATGCTTAATTTGTCCATAAGAGAGTGATAAATATCTCTTATTAATCGATTCATTTTTTTAATTATAATAAAAGAATTTAAATATCTCTTAAGAATTTTTTTTTTATAATTATTTTAACACTCTAAGTAATCGTATTAGTGAATCAAACCGATCGAGATCAAGTCAATTCGAGTTTTATTAACCATGCTTAATAGCATGAAAAACACGATAACCATGCTTGGCATAACTCAGCAAACATTCGATCAATCGCAGCCGGCCAATGGATTCACACACGAGAGACTTGCAATACATTAATTTATGTGTTTTAATTTAATATTTTTAAAGAAATTACAAGTCCATTATTCTATTTAGAACATAGCTCAATTGATAATAATTGGGCATATCTAACTAACTTTTTTTTGTACTTAATAGTTGATATTTCATTTTGAGTTAATATATTTTATATGCATTTGGTTTTTTTTTTTTGCAAAAAATATATATTTTATATATTTTCTTGTAGTTATTATTTTTGAAATTTGTATACATAATTATATTTACTATTAAATGTGACTCAAGGTTTGTCTTGATGTTCAATCTGAATCTGATAAGAGAAACAATTTTTTTTTTTGAAAAAAATAATTTCGAACATGAAACCTATCGACTTTGTATAATAATATATAAATTACTAGAATTTTGCAATGGAGAGAACATATTATTATTGCATGACATTTTCACTAGAATATAAATCACAAGAATTATATTATATGTCGGTCCAGCCAAGTTTAGGTTTTCTTCCTTCTATTGTGGCCCTCTGCGTCGTGAGTACTATCGAAATGATGGCAACCTAATCCTCCTCCTTACCAATCAATTCTTCGTCGACTGGAAATCAATTCTTCAACGTATAAGAAAAGCACTCCTGACTTCCAAATTGGCTTTCAAATGTGATCATACTTAGGAATCAACTTTGAATTCGGATATGTCAAAACATGTAATATTTTCAGCAATGAAAGCCCTCAGCTTTGTGTTTTCGTGTATGCTGTCAGTATTTGTTCTTAATACGTGATTGCATACGTACATCACAGGCATTAATGTTCATAACTTTTCCTTCTTGACTTCGGTTGGTATGGTGGATCTAATGAGACAAGAAATATATGCGGTTTGGTAATATGGTGATAGGGATCCATGATTTGCTAAATTGGCCACGCAAGAAAGATTTTTTTCGACTCAAATTCATGATTTACTATAATATTATCTTTAAGATATGATTAGATGATCACAAATTTTAAAAAGGATAATTTTTTTTTAAAAAAATCACATTTTGTTGCTTTTACGGTATGATTCTCTTATTTTTACTTTTCTCATTTTATGTCCTAAATATCCTTCGCCATTGTCGCTTTCGTCCCACTGTGATCATCTTTATCCCATCGTAAGGCCTTATCGCTTTCACCCATTATTTCAACTTCGTCGCTTTCATCTTATTGTGATCATCTATTTCCTCTCAATGCTAACATGTATTTATGATATTAGAGAAAAATAAACGTATCAAATAGAAAACCTAAAAATGAGGACATCGTCCCAAGATTACAAAAAAAAAGGAAGAGGCTTCTACAGATTATACGTTTTAACAAAGATGAATTAAATTGAGGATGTACTTAAGATGTTGCGTAAAATTATCGTGTCAATTTAGTGGATAAAGGAGTTATGTACACGTTTTAGTTATCATACATTAAACAGATTACATTATATGTACAAAATCACAAATGGTGTTGTGCTGTGGTGGTATGGCCGTGACACAATCTATCTCCATCCTTGACTTGGAACGAAATTTGCCCTAGTCAAATCACTCAGGTCAGCTTCATGAGATGATTCATTGTACTCGGTGAGTTGCTTGGAATAGATTTTATCGTTGAATGCATTATGGCACAGGAACTGATACATACATTGATGCATACGTCAATTTGACTTATTAACTTCAAACAACATTAGAATATAAAATCCAGTACTGACTTTTGATACAGGAAAGTGTATGCGCCGCCAAAAACCTCTTTCTACCATTTTGCCTTCGTCCATTAATCTTATATTATTAGCATAATTTCCTATATAATTAGCGCAATTTCCCTTTGACTACACTTGTGATGCAGCCAAGTGGGTGAAAACTATGCATGGCTAGTAACGTGCATGCATGTACTAATGAATGAAAAGGTCAACAACTGGTAACGAAAGGAGCACTAGTCCTTCCACAATACGGGGTGGTGACGGGAAGAACAGTAGTAAGCAAGTAATGCCAATGGGCGCCATTAATGTTCTGCTCTTCCCCACATCGAAGGACTCGAGTTGAACAGCCGTCCAAAGCTGACCATTAATGTCGGTTCACGTCACTTTGAAAAGTCAAAGATCAAAATTCAAAAACAACTTTGGATCATCAATGATGCTTAGGAGGGTTTGTTTTGATCTCTTCTTCCTTGGAATGATTTAAGCGTATGGCTGGTTGACCAACTGAGCTCGCATTTATCACGACAGGTTTGAGATGACATGTACATAACACCCTGTGTTCTTGACGTCCAGCCATCGAAGTTAACTTCGAATCTAAGCAACACAGGCTTATCCAAGCACAATAATGATTGGGGCAAGAACTTACCACTTTCTACTATTTGGCTGCTTATTCTAATGGACAAAGCTTGGCCATAATCTTGTCCTGTTCATCAAACTTTATCCTGAACGAGTACCAACTCTTCTCTTAGTTCATCATGAGAATGATTCAGTCGACTCTACAAATCTACCTGCTAACTTGCAAACCAAACTATGCTCCAAGGTTGCCTTTTGGGGACTCCTTCAACCAAGTTAGAAAAAATTTACTTCAGCAAGTCTATCCGTGTACGGAAGGATCAGTTTTGATGGCATGTATTAGTGATCTCAGAGGTTAGTAGGTCAGTGAGTCCTAAACGGAAATGATATACATAATAAACACAAAATTAATCCAACTAGTACATGAGAAGAAACAATTAAGACTACATAAAACTTAGATCACTAGTCTATGAGATATGCACTAGCAGCAAGTTTTTTTTATAGCATCGAGCCATATCGATGATTCACAGTAGAGGAAGATGATTAAAAGCACATCACAAGAATCAAATGTTGTACCTGCAGATAGGTGTGGATGACAACCCTGGAACTGGATGTCTATGCTCGCCTCGATAGAAGCCGTGAGGAATGCTTAGCATAGCGGAACTACAAAAGACCCTTTGTTCACTGGTCAGTTAGTTCAAAATCGTTTAGAACAACATACCAACATCAGCTGCTCGATCGCATTGTGATTGCACCTGCTAAAAATTACAAAAAGAAATCGATGATGACCTCTAAAGAAGCTTAATCTTGGTGCTTGAACCTATTAAAATTCTGTACTTGGCAAAATGTAGTTTTTACTTTCGTACCTTTGTATGCTTCCAGATGCAACCATGAGTTACATAATGATTCTTTACAAATTAAAAGCAACTATTGCTGATAGCATATCATCCCTACCTTCAACTTTGCACTCTATATATATATTATCTCAAGGACACCTTGATTCATCACTCAGGCAAAAAAATTTGGTACAATCTCATGGATAAGCTTGCTTGCCATTTACATAAGTTGCCAATACAGTAGTAGGTAAATCCCCTGCCAATTGATCCCATGAATCGACTGGTAATACTACAAAATCTGCATACTTATCTGCGGACAGACTACCCAACTCTTGGTCTAAGAAGCCAGCGTAGGCAGCTGAAATGGTCGACCTACCATATTCAAAATAAGCATTTAATGATGTTAATAATTTTATATTAATGTATCTGATGCAACTCAGAAATAATATAGACATTCAACATGTTTTGAATGTTGAATGTGTCGAAAGAAATTAAGTTGCAAATGTGTTGAAAGAAGATCTACACATGATTGGATGAAGGTCAGATTTAAAATCATTAAACAGCAAATATCCTAAGAGACAGTAAAAAATCCAACATTAATCCATTTGACATAGCATTATTAATATTCAAAATTCAGTCTTATATTTCCACTAGTATGCACATCAAGTAATTCTTCAGAGACTTGGAAATGTCCATGCCTCAAAAGGTTATGTTGTCCATAAGTCAAATTGTTAAGGTTCAGATTGTTTTTAATCTCAAGGTATGATGATACCTGATATACTCACCTGATCTCGAATATTTTTCTCCATATCAAAGTAACCCCAAAAGTTATTATAATTGTATAGCCTAATAAGAAGTATCCTGGCCTCTTCCCTGCATGGAAGGCATGACCGTCCAAGATATTTTAAGCATTCCTACATTATAATTATTGCACATAAATCACCTCAAAGAATCATCATCAGAATGACCCTTAATTGGTTGCATTATGCAGTATGTTAATGAAAACATACTTTGATAGACGATTTGAGAAAATGAACTTTGAGGTGCTCTGAGCCATACCAACACACCGATACATATGGTCTGAGCCATATGAGCGACACGTGTTGGTATATTGCTATGTGCCAAGTTTCAGAAAAACCTTTTATATATATATGTATGTATATATATATGGCCCTGGAGCATACCTAGCGATATGAGCCTTATACCAGGCATACCATCCAGTTTACCTTGGTTTGCATGCTAGTAGGTTGTTGGATGGTCCATACTGCTCCAACGGTATTATAAACCTTGGCTTTAACAATTTTAAATTCACAAGGTTCATAGCTGCACTCTTGTCCCTCCCTCTTGCTGTTCTATCTCACCTGGTGGCCCTATCACTCCTTGCCACCTCACATTAGCTCTAGATAAGTGAAAAAATGGCTGGGAAGAGAACATCTCATTGCTTGATTGCTAAATGCCTTGATTCATTTAATGTGGATATTGGATAACTAATGTAAGGCTGGACAGAACTGAGGTTAGTATTTTATACTTATTTCCACATCTTCATGTTTTCCTTTTGGTTTGCCTTCTTGTTCAAGTAGCACAATGACCATGCCAGTTAATACTTGCTTCCTTCCAACTTGACTAGACCACATGATAAGACCTGCAGAATCTTAAATAGCAGGTGGTAATCCAAATTCCCAAAATCAAACAATTTCCCACAATGGATTTTGGGTAGAAGTAAGGACGGTTTAAAATTTTACACACCACCAGGTATATGACTGATATTTCTAATGAGACAAGTAGTTCGTATGCTATTAAGAAAAAAATTCACAAATTGACACTTGTGAGGTAAAGTAACTGAGTGGTAACTTAAGAAAGAAAGATAACATATTAGTGAAAAGAAGAAAAAATAGAGAGAACCAGAACTCTAGAACTTAGATACATACTAGGCCAAAGAAACCAGAAAACCTAAGTTTTTTGGTCCAGGTATCAACGAACCACAGTTTTCTTAATTGTAAATGCATACAAATATGCATGCACACGTATACATACACACGTTGTCAACCCAAGACCTGCCACGTATTACCTTCTTGATGACAAGTCTTCTATCAAGATCCTCACTCAATGTTGAACAATATTTTAATATGTAATCTAGATTATAAATAATCCAGCCTTAAATTTGTACTGGCAGTTATCCACGTAATCTTTCCTTCTACAAAGAATCATTTGAAAATCACAAAGGCATGAAAAACTTTCTCAGAACTGTTTTCTTTTGAACAATTGCCAATTTTTAAAGAAAAATATACTTTTTTGGTATATGTAAGGTTTGTCATACCGTAACAAACCACCCGATACAGGCGGTACATACCAGTCCGACAGAGGACCAATATGGGCGGTACATATCGATTTGTATGTACATCCCACCATATCGTGTGTCAATATGTCAATACAGTTCAGTATGTACATCGGTATGAACCGATAAGGCGAACCATTCTGTATCTCATCCATTTCAACTAAGCTTTGATTCACTGCAATTGTATGTGCCAAACTTGCAAATTAAGGTAGCAATAACTACTGAATATTCCCAACGTGTCATCTCTTTTGTAAACCAACAGCAGCAAAGACAATAGGAGGAAAGTATCTTACGCTTTCAGAGCATCATATAAAGCCATACGCTCACTCGGAATCCAAGCATTTTCCCATCCTGGAGGGACTCGGTATAGTGCTGTTTTTATGGCTCCTAGTGGATTGATATCAGCAACCTAGAATGACAATGCACCAGCAATGACTTAGCAGTCAACTTTCATAAGTGGTACATCTATGTAAAAGTTTCTCGAGGTTTTAAATTAAGAAAAAATCATACTTAAGAATACTCACCGGCCAATCAGAACCAAAAGCTAAGATTGCATCACTGTCAATGAGTGACCGGAACAAATATGATCCTCTCTGAGCCCTCATGGTGCCTATTTTTTTTTCAGCAGAATTAGCATCATCCAGGAGATGATCTGGCTGTTAACATAAGTATATTTCTAATCAGTGAATTACTTCTTCAACAAGAACTAATGTCTCAAAACAGGTTTTGTGGTACATATAGAATTAGAAAACAATGATGAGACAATAAGACATAGAATAACTTTGGGCATGCAACATGATATTGGTGCATGAAGATGTTCATATTATACTTCTCTTTGGGGACTTCACAAGCATGAAGACAGAGAATAGAAAAAGAAAAAGATAAAAATAGCAAAAGTGAAAATCATTAAGCATAATGATGCCAACAGTATGGCACTGTCGCTCGCTAGATGGATGACATGCATATTCATATATTGTAATCCATCATCAACTTTTTGTAGGTTACCATAGTCAAGAATTTTCCATGATAAAGGTCTGGAAGCTTAAAGTATTTCATAAGAAATATATCTCGTTATTGTTAATGTGTAGATCATTCCATTGAGCAACAGAACAAAGATGCTGCACAGCATTTGTTAGTGAAGCTTCTAAGCCGACTTAAAAAGAAAAAGGATTATTATTTTCAAGTTTATATGCGCCACACATATGAATTGAAAAAAATTGAGCTTAGATCAAGAATAGCTTTCCCACAGCATAGATATTTGATGTTGTTGCCTTTAATCATTGGATGGTGGAATGTGGCAGTAGATATAAGATCCAGAACTTAATGAACCTATCTAGGACATGTATGCCAACAAATCTAGAAATTGATGGACGGATCCTACTGCATATCAAGGATTTAAATACTGGAGGCCCCAATATATATTGATTGGTATTTAGCAGTCTGATCAAGTTCGGCACCAAAGTATACAGCTTGATATAGGACACTATCATTCATTGTTGTATTTATTATGTTCTTCAGTGACATCATCACATCAGGCTGTACAGTTTGGTGTATCGCCTGGTATACAAAGCACCATAACAGTCTGACAGAATCCAGAACTTGTACAGGACTGTAATTTGAATTCTTGCTGTATATAGTGTGTGAATGACCATTCTCTTACCTTACTGTAAAGAAAAAACAAACAGGAAAGATGGGTAGTCCAAAGATATTGCATCTAGGATGTGTCTCACACTGATACGATGGCCTCAAACTATCCAGAAGAAAGACACATAAGTTTTGTTTTCTTTTCTTTTCATAATTTTTAAAATAAATGTATCTTAGAGTTCACCACATCATCATCTTGTCATGTAAAGCAGGAATAAGAAAATACCCATCCATGTCTAAAGTTATAAGCAAAGTTCTGTATACAGCGAAAAGAACCAAAATAATTAAATTAAAACCTTTCATTCAAAAAGGACAGACAGTGACCATATTGTATCATGTCCAGATACTTCTCTCCTAATTCTCACATATGAAACACAAGAACTAACCAGCCTCAAAAGATTTACTTAGAGATCCTTGATGAATAAGGAGAGTAAAGACATCCAGGAACTTTTGACTTTGTTGTAGTCTCTACCAAACATTGGAGTGTACAAGATCAACCATACATTATTAGTTAATTTTCCTTTTACAGAACTTAGTAGAAAGCCCATGATAAATATTCATGAAGGAATAAATAAATAATTGCTCTCCGGTTTACCTGTACAGAGGCAATAATTCTTTGTTCACCAAAACGTATGGTTGATCCTGGAACCAGATGTTGGGCATGTTCAATCTGTTTATGGCCAATTAGTTGATGACAACAAGAATTAAGCTCATAATAAACAAAAGCATCTCTTTTCTCAGCAGTAGATGAGCAATGCATAAGACAGCTAAAGACTAACAGCACATGAACTTCCTATGAATTTCATTCAGATAAAGAAAGAACATGACCCTAAATCTGCGATCCCTCATTCCATTATAAGATACAACAGTATTATACATATCCAGCACCATATCGTTGGCTTTGTCTCCGATGGCATGAATGGCAACCTGATTACATGACTAATAACACATTAGAAACAACTTCTAGTTGCAGAGCACAAATTGGCCAGAATAAATAGATATTACCTGAAGTCCAAATTTGTCTGAATGCAATGTCACATTTTGGAGCCAATTTATATCTGTTACTTGCAATCCATAACTGTATGGATCCTCCTCATAAGGCTAAGAAACTCATTAAGACTCCATTGTTAGACAACAAGTTAGAATTGGTATTTGCAAATATATATAATGAAAGGACATGAATATATCTGTGAGTCTAAATGCGGGTTATGCAAGTTTAAGAAGAACAAATGATTAATATTAGATAAATATCATGTGCAACTGAGTCAAAATGCAAATCTAAAAGCAAACAGACATAATTTTTGCTTGAAACAATATTAGACAATAACATATTTTCTAACTAATTATGTTACAAGACCAAAAACCAAAAATGCAGGCCTGATAGTGTTACTGACTGGTGATCAGACCTGTATGGTACCAGCACCAAGCCATACCATGTAATAGCACGCATTTGTAACAATCAACTTTCCCCTTTTCTACGCATATTTGGGCCTAGTTACTTTTTACATATTTGTTAGTAGTTTCTAGAACTATCAATCCAATGCTCTTCTCGCTGTGGGCAAATGAAAACTCTGATTCAGTATCAGATCAAAGCATACTCTGACTTACAAAATTTATGCTGGTAGGAAGGCAATTACCATGAGGAACACTTGTCAAACTCAGTCTCAGCTAGGCTCTCCCTATCTCCTCGAAGACATCAACTATCTTTTCTTTGCTCTTCTCCTTTTTCATAAATTCTATTGGATCAGAAGACATGATCTTTTTCTTGATCGGAATAAGTAAATCTCTGTTCCTATCCGCATGCCACAACTCTAGTTCATGGGAAGACAGAAACTCAAGCCCTGGTCATCCTCATCATTACTATCATCACTATCATCATTCTAAAACACATGATGGTTGTCATGTCATCCTCAAATTGTTAGTCATCAATGGCATTTAAAGAATCAATTGTAATGAGTGACCTCTGACATCATTTTGCCCTTGGATGACTGTGACAGACTTCCTGTGCATGACTAAAATGCATCGTGATCCTGCTGAAGTTATACATAAGGCGCTTGAATCTATCATCCTTCTTAGGTCGAACGCCCTTGCTAGAGGCTCGGAATCATCAGCCACCTAATCCTCCTAGATCCAGTATGAGATGAGCTTCAATGGATATGGTGGATCTCCATCTTCAACGTGCACTACATCATCCTGATTTTTCAGCTGCCCATGGCAAGTCCATCAAAGGGTCTGAATCATCCTAAACAATAGGTAATCAAATGGATTCTTCCTCGGTCCCCAACTTTTCTTTGTCCCCAATTTAGTATTATAGTCATAGTCTCATAGATGCATGTTACAATTAACATATACCAATTTCTCCAAAGCTCTATATAAAAGGCTATTTTGAACTTTTGTATATTAAACAAAAAGGTGAACTAATTTTGCCCAAAGACCTAATTATTTTGAAAACCAAATGTACCACTTGATAGGCCTCAGTCTATACCTGTCTGACAGGGGACCGGCACTCTAACACGCAAAATTGCCTGAGCTGTTTCAAAACCAGGCATACCACCTGTTACACTTATCGTACCAAACATAACATCCAGTATTTGACCATTACCTGCCCCTATGTCAAACAATAATCTTACCCCCAGTTTTGGATCCATAATAAATCCCTTTGGGGCTTTTTTGGGACTTCTTAAACCTCTCTTCCTCAACAGGCTCAGAAAGATGATCTGATTTGCTGTGGTGGCACCTTCATGCATTTGGTCACATTTGAAAATCCGGTGGCCAAAAGTTGTTTCAGATAGGTTATTCCTCTATCAGGACCAATGTAGTCATAGAAAATGCATTTGCCATAATGGCAGTTATTCAAACAATGAGCCTACTGCGACGTGAGGCCAGTGCTCCAATGCATCATTGTCATTTTTTTCAAAAATTGTCCATCTTAATCATAAATTTAATATTGGAAATCAAGGTCTGATCTCACAGAAGAGTCATAGATATGCATAGATCTATATGGCATTTGCATAGATGTTGGTCAGATTTGTGTGAATCTTCATAAATCTACCAATATATAGGCCTGATCCACACGGACCTAACCTATATGGGTGTGGAACTAGGTCAAATCTGTAAAGATTTACGCTGTGATTTACAGGCATCTAAGGCAGATCCTTGCATTTCTAACTTGGATCCGTATGCATCCAGATCCGTAAACTTGAAAAGGAAACCTGAAATTTATATCTCGATTGATGAAATCATGATTCGGTACTAGGCAGTCCACGTGTCAATCCTCTATCGGACTGATATGTACCGCTCGTACCACCAGGTACAAGTTGGCACAGTAAACCTTGGTTCAGGCCATGGTTCTCCCTGAATTTCTTTCTAGCAGAAATGGGCTTCAGGTTCTTGAGCAGAGATCTCTCAACTTCTCCAGTTTTTGACACCTAACTGTGTAAGGAGTTCATGGATGTGTTTCTCTCCTTTTCTTCCTTTTTTATGCTTATCTTTGTTTATGCTCTTTCTTCTTTACCTTGTGATGCTGACCTATGTAGGTTTGTTAAAAATTTTGGTTTATTGGCAAGGTTTCAAAAGGGGTTTGAAATCTCAAGTACTAGATCCATATTGGTCCCTGACTGGACTGATACAGGTCCAGTTCATGATAGCATACACATAGTATGTTGGTACATGCTGCGTGACTAAGAAGTGGGAAGGAGGATGAGAAGAAGAAGAGAAGGAGAAGGTGAATAGGAGGAGAAAGAAGAGGAGAAGAGAGGAGAGGACTAGGAACGGAAGAGAATGAGGAGTATTGGGCAGCAGGCATCAAGTGGCTTTTACGGACAGGGTCAGGGGGGATGAGCGGTGGGTGGCTTGAGTTGTAGGGCACAGAGTCAAGTGTGACAATGATAAAGCGAGACGAGGGAGGTTATAAACTGGCTTGAACAATCCGAAATGGGTTAGTTCATGGCCTGCTTTTCTCAAAAAACTCATCAAGGAATTGAAAGCTCATTCTCAAAAAGTCATCTCAATTTACAGTGAAAGAAATGGTCCATAATAAGGGACCCCGTATAGCCCGATATGGGGTCTGTAATGATCAGAACAATCGAAATCCGACCATTACCGATCGGTAACGGTTGGATTTCAATCGATACAAATCAATGGTCGGCATTTATTGACTTCAAACAATTTGTTTGACCATTTGAACTAGATCTAAGGGTTTTTAAACCATTTATACCCCCTCATTCTCTCCCTTTTCACTCTCTAACTAGAGTTAGAACATGGCAAAACATCACTCTCGGTCAAACCCTTGTTCATATCCCCAACAAGAGGAAGATCACCCTTGGTTAGAACGTGGCAAGAGCCAAACAATATCGAGTCAAATTACTCGAGGAACTAGAGACCTAACTATCACAATCGTTTGCCAACGAGCAAGGAAAAGACAAAAGGGAAGGCAGTAACATCAACCACTGTTGGAAAGAATCGAGTCAGATAACGAAACACCTTCTCAATTGCATTCAGCAACCCTCTCGGTCCGAAGACATGGCAGTGATGTTTACAGCAGTGCCTCGACCGACGATGGCGGCTTTGTCAGGGAGTCGATGGTCCCGTCAACATAATTTAAGAGTGGTGGATGGACCAGGAGCAGTTTCTTACACATGCCACCCAAGATTCAGATCATGAAATTTGACGAGTTACTGGTTAAGTTTATACACGGAAGGAGAAGGGGAAGGAAGTGGATGATTTTGAGCAGATGCAATAGAGCTTACATAACTTAGACATAAAGCGGAACTCATCGCATTCACAGTTGTCGTATTATGGAGAATCTTACGACCAACAACAATACGATGATAGTTGGTCATTCTTCTCCGAGCAACAGTACGATAATCGATCTTATGATACAAAGCAATATATCAGTAGCAAAAGTAGAAGTTTCAGCTTTCTCTAACCTCCGCCACCGATACATGCCACAATCGTACTTGCCTTAGGAGCCGCCTCGGATATGTGGTTCATGACAATCAAACTATGACCATCACCACATTAATACACTAATGACATATGGTGTATCAATATAATATATCATGAGATCAATTTCAGGATTAGGTTCGACAAATATATCAAATTGATATACATATACATATACTCGAGAACCTTGATCCATCACTTGTGAAATCCCGTCGTTCTTTTTGGCGGTAGAACCATGTATATCCATCAATTGATTGCTTAATTAATTTAAATCTTAAAGTTTAAGTTGTTTAACAAATAATCTAACAATTCAAATCATTTCCTTGTAGATAATTTAATATCAACAAAATAACAATTTGAAACATACCACACAGCTACTCCTCAAAGCCCGAAAAAGATATATGCAATTATTCTTTCCTAATTTAGATTATTTTTGCTAAAATTATACTAAATTTATATTTATTTCTAACTTAAAATTACTAATTTTATGTTTTTTCTATTTTAAAGAATTTTTGGAGCTATTTTCAGCCATTTTTCCATGTCTTCGGTGCGTCCTGCCATACTAACACATGGTATGTTGGTACGGAGCGGTATGTAGTGTACTATATCGTCGACTGGTCGGTACATCGGTATGAACCAGTAAGGCGAACGCTGGCCTGAACTAAGTGGAACTTAACCCAAGTATATTAAAATTGGTTGATTTTCGTTTGAAATGGATCTCTTACACGCTTGGCACCTTTTTCTTCCAAGTCTCTTTGCAATTCAATTGATAGAACATTAAAGATGAACTATTATAATGTATGCAATCAGTATGCTCAAATAGAAACCCAAAGGCAACACAATTATAGTAATTGCCTATGATAACTGGAACTAGTTTAGAATATTGATTTTGGATGGATCAACCAGGCACATGTAAAACCATGACATGACCCATAACCTAAAATTAAAAATGAAATAAGCAAATGACTGCATGAAACAATAGTAATTATGGCAATGCTGACTCCATGTTCTTGATCATATCAAATAAAATGCATATGCTAACATTTTATTTACATAAAGGGAATTAAACAAGAAAGATCAGTTGCGTGAATTTTAAATGAATATACTGTATTAGATAGAAATGGTAACCTACCTCGTAGAAAAGTGCACTACTAGATCCCAAAGACCCATCAGCAAAAGCTTTGACACCACCCAAATGTATCCATTGACTCAAGGCTCTACCTTTTTCTTGAATAAGATCCTAAGGAATCAACAGTTGATGTAATGATTTGAGACAAAGATTATCTATTGATATATCAAAGAAACATTAGTAAAAACAGATTTCAAGGCAATATGTGGACAACAATAACCAAACTGCAGTTAAGCATAGACACTTAAATAAAAGAAAATAAGCAAGCCACCATTTTACAACATATAGATAGTCACAAAACACTTGTCAATTGAATGTCGTCCAAATTTCATGTACATAACTTTATTTATGGTTGAGGCCAAGGTTTGTAATTTCGTACCGTATCAGAGTATCGAGATCAGCTCGATACGATACGGTATGGTATACCGAGCGGTACATTCTGGTGTACCGCTTGGTATATATATATATATATATATATAAAGTAAAAGAAAACTCGTTTTTCTACCAATGTTGTCATGCACTTTGCTAATTTTGCCAAAGTCGTGTGGCACCCTTGCGTGTCCGTCCACAAAGGTCAGCCTCCCCGAAACCTCCTATGGTCCCTTAGGACTTACAAAAGAGAAAATAGGTTAAAGAAAGCATCTCACTCGGGATCCACAAGCAATCATTTCAGTAAACACTTCATAGCCAATGCAAATTACAAACAGACTTCACAAGCTCTGAACGGTCGCACAATAAAGGGTCCAAAATGATCCACTATAGACCGAAATCCCCAAAAGTGCCCACATGACACAACCTTTGTTTGCAAGCTTAGGACGACCACCAAAACCAAAGAAAATAGGGCTGCTAAGCCTACTGTCAGCCCTTTACATGTTGTGCAAAGCATGAACAAAACCGAAAGACACGAGCATACATGAGCATTGCATCAAACACCCCGTTTACAATTCTATCCATGACAACGTGGGGAGAAGAAACTGAGGTTTCCTTCTCCCCATGCAAAAACGGGCGATGAGGCGACGTCGCCGCCTCGTCGCGTCATTTCTTCTGCCCACGTAGGGAGAAGAAAGGTCGCCTCGACGACACTCAGTTTCTTCTCCTTGCGACGTCACCGAGGCTTCTTCTCCCCGCGCGGATGAGGAGAAGTCGCTGACGACGTCGAGGCCTCGTCGCCTCAGACAAGGAGGCAACATCTCATCTACGACGTCCGACGAGGGAGAGCGGCGACGGATCAGGATTGTCAAGGGAGAGCGACGTCGGATCTCTAGGTTCTCCCTTTTCTTCTCCCTCTTCTTCTCCCTCTTCTTTCTTCTCCCTCGGCTAATACACCCGGTAGCGGATAGTGACGGTCGAAATCGACCATCACCAACCGATTTAGGGTGGTAACGGGGCAAAAAAAGCCTCAATCAACAGTACTGCCCGGTAGTAAGCAGTCCGCGCACCGGTCTACTGGTGGACCGGTACGTGCCACCCAGTACGGACGACATTATTCGAAATTAAAATCCTTGGTTGAGGCTAGGATGTACATCTATACAATTCTATACTAACATTTATTTTGTTTTTTTTGCAAATGATAAGTGTTGAAGGTGGATGGTGATCTCAGGGCCTTGCAGTGATCTGACAAAATTTTTACAGCTAAACTAGCCAACACATACGAAAAATCAATTTGGTTTAGTAGAATTACAATTTTGGTAAGCAATTTTGTTCCACAAGTAATGTACAATTGGGAAAGATATTGACACCTCTATGTACCACACACACATATGTAAAACCTAGAATAGCATACATATAACCAGAAGATACATCTATAGAGCCAATTCATGAATGTACCTTCCCACTTCTAGAATAGCTCATAAGCTAATTTCTGATCAGAAAAGGAGAGCCTAGTCACAAAACTCCTATAATTATGGGATCAGTTGAATGGACACAGATCAATCAGAGTACAACTATTAATTCCAGTTTTGGGGGCATGAAAGTGCTTCAAGTTTGTGGAAGTCACCCCAAGATATAAGTGGATCTTAGGGATTGACAGGAACATATAGCAAGTCAGACATCAACAGCTTTATCATGCAATATACACCATTAACTAACAAAGAATGCATAAATTACATTAAATAAAATTATATATATATATATATATATAGAGTATGTTAATATAAACGAGTATAGATGGTACAAAGAGTCTATGTGTTTCGAGGTACCCAACATGTGTCAAAATGTGTCTAACAAGTGTTGGTGTGAAACACAGATAAATCAAGCCTTTTTAAATTGTATAACTTCATGGTTGTTGCTTGATACCTTTAGCATTGGACCTTTGAGCTCCAGAAACTTATTCGATATTTCCATACCAAGATACTAGTTGATATCAACTGCTCCTCCAGTAAGTATGCATATGATGTGGTTTATTGGGTTGGTGACAAAATAAGATGTCGTCTAGGACTTTATTATCTTTGAACAACTTACAGTGAAGGAAAACAGATAAGAATTAAGAAGAATACACTGAATTCTTATAATTAATACTCGGATTTAAGACTTGGTCCGGTATATTGTAATATAGTAAAAATTCAAGTACAAGAATGAATTGTAATTGGGGCTCTGATACTTACAACCAGTAGAGACCAAGTTTGCATTGGAAAAAATAAGCAAACTCTGATCAGCATTTTCCCAGAAGAATCAGCCCATTGGTAAACATCTGAAATGATATGTATATCAAGGACAGCACAACCAATTAAAATCCATCTGATAAGATGATAATCCTAAAGTAGAAAAGCCAATTCAGGAATATATATTTAATAATAATGATAGTCTTCCCCAAGGAGACTAATCCCAAATAATCAATGTGGCAGAATCACTTGATTCAGCAGGTTATACAACAATACATGTTGACTTTACTACTTGGGGTAAAGAAATAGACTATATTCTGCAACATGGGAGAAGGCTAAATAACCTCCTTTAATGACAGCACATAGCCTTTAGGATAAAAGGTAGCTTGTCATCAAACTATTGAGAAGAAAATTAAAGAGGTTCCCAAGTGTAACCTGAAAAGTCTTGCCAGATATGATCAACTGATGTGCCTGGAAAGAATCTCCCAAAGTCAATCACGGTTGTCACTCCCCTCGTTAATGCATACTTGCTTGCTCTGATCAGTGAGTCTCTCCTATCATGGATCGAGACTTCAGGTATCACAGCTAGAACAAGCTTCATTGCAGAATCAACCAGCAGACCACTAGGCTCTGGATTGTAGAATTATACAAATTAAAGAAAAACAAAGTCAAGCAGAGCCAAACTTTAAATTTCAAGTAATTGTTAATACCTAATGGACATAAGGAAATACTGTGACCCTTTGGTTTTCATTAACAATAAAATTTTTATAATTTTTTTGGTTCCTAGCTGGGAAGAAGCTCATTTACCATAGAATATCATACAATTAGCTTAAAGGAAGCTGCAAGTGTGACTGGTATAAGAATTTGTTGTTTAAGTATAATATAACTGATTGACTGCAAATTGTTCCGTCACCACGTTTAGTGGCATATTTATCATGCATGAATTCAATCCATTTACTATTGGTGTTTCACTAGATATAGCAACATGTGGTGTCCTACCAAACCATGCGTCAGAGAAAATAAGTAAAAACAATGACATAGCCACCTTTAGTTTCTGAAATATCCTTATGAAATTCCCTCACAGACTCCTTTCCCTCTCTTTTTATGGATATTCCGTGTATTAAAAATGTCAACCACCAATGATCTAATTAATTGTTTCAATTTACTAATACAAATTACAAAAACATCACTATTTCATAGTGCCTTGTATCTTAGTATCTTGAAATTTGGAACTATTCTTTTTCAATGCCACTATTGATCTTCTTATTAATTTAATAGCTCACTGGAAAAATCCTGCAAGTAAACTTTTAATGCCTTGAAAAAGTTAATTATGATCTACCCATGTGAAATTAAATTCTGATCTACCCATGTGCTGCATCAAACATATACACATGGTACATATACCCATCTAGCCAATATATTACTGCAGAAGATAAAATTCTTATTTTTTATAAAATAAGTATAAACAATTTTAATAGTTAAAGTATCAATATATGACAACAACTGTTTATGATACAACTATTTGTTAAGTATTTTAAATCTCAGGCCAGGCTAGGCTCACGTTTTATCTCTTCTTTTATTTGGCACCATTTGTGTATCTTAAATCTCAGTCATACCCTTCATTGTTCTCTCTGTGTTGTCTTTTCATAACCTCACCAAGCATTAGTGATTACCTTTGTTTAGTGATTGTAATGATAAATGTTTTTTTAGTTTATCTTTCATCTCATTTATAACTGCTAACTTTTCAGCTACAATCTTCACATTTTTGTCAACAAAAAAATAATTGAATTGAGTCAATTGACAAACTAGACCTATTCTCACTAGCTCACCTTTCTTTCCAATGCTTGTGCTATTTTGTTGATTCCACAATACTCCACTTATGTTCCTTTTATAAGGCACTTGCAAAAAAGCTTATTACAATACAGAACTTCCAAACCCAAGAGGAGTGTGAAAACTCAAATGTGAACCAATCATTTTTTTATGGATAGGAAAAACTTGGTTGAAATTTTTTACAAGCATCATGGCTACAGGTCAAGCATGAATCCTCAATCCTTTACATGTTTAATTTCCCCATAATTGCTCTCATAGTCCATCTATTTGTTTTTTGCCATCTTTTGTTACCAAGCAGAAATTAATCTGTTCAAATCTTAAATTTCCCTACATAATCCACTAATGCACTGCAAACGAATATCAATTTAACCTGCTTCGTTATGCTAAAATAGTATTTTATAATTTATTGAGCTTCATATTTACCGCCCTCCAAAGTCTTCGCAATAGCTCCACCAACTGGATCACATGTACTGTTGTTAATTCCAGCTATCTTTAGGGCAAGTGAATTGGCCAATCCCATATGACCATCCATGCGCGAAAGCCATACCTATCCATAACAATGTTCCATATCAAGTTATGCTGTTGGTACTTCAACATATAGCATGAAAATAATAGCATGAGAACCAACTGGGTTGTCAGGTGTGATGCCATCTATCCAAGAAGCAAGAGGTAATTCTCCACCCCAGAGATCATTGTTCCATCCGCCACCTAAGATCCACTCACCATGAAGTTTATCTGTCATGAATATGTTTCTAATGAAGTTAGAGAGAAGAAAAAAAGGAAAGATACTATTGACATGTATAAGGCTTCACCAATAGGTGATTCTTTCCTTTAACATGTATAAGGTCACCAATAGGTGATGCTTTCATGCACACGTCATATGCCTACTACAATACATAGGGCTAAAAACTATTTGAAAAACAGAAAGATCCAAGAAGTAAAAGCTGATCAGGTACCAATATCAGCAAACAGTAGTATGTACAGCTAAGCTGTACTTAAAATGTCATCTCTCAATAGTAGTGACAAGTAGCAACAGAAATATTGAGAAAAAAAAAAGAGTACATGCATAAATGTTATCAGCAAGCAAATTGTAAAATAAGCTAAAAAATGCGGCCTCAAAATAAATCCCAGAAAAATATATGATACAGTTAAAATTGGAGAAGACCCAATCTTCATGATAAATGCTCAGACAGAACTTGAAATGAAGATCCTTCATGTATATCTTCTTTTATATACCTCAAATGTACATACAAGAGGTAAAAGGATGCTATTGTTAAAAAGCTTAAGAAAGATTATTCGTGAATCCTGTCTCATGGCTTCTAATGTAGCCCAGCGGTGCACATGAGCTGGACCAAACTACCATTATGAGGCGGGGGCATATGGAGTTTCTTTTTTTTGTAATTCATTAGGCAAGAGGCGATCTCCTAATGTTGGCAATTTAGACCGATGGTTTCTCCTTCAAGGTACAAAATAAATCATGATAGATGATGCTCATACTAAGGAGGAAAAAAAAGAGAATATATGAAAGGTGATTGCAAGATGGGTTAATATATACCACATCCCTGCATATGTAGCTTGAGGCCCTTATTATCAAGTTATTTGGTTCATTTAGCAACATAGTCCCGGTATACAAGTTCCTGATTCATTTGAGATTGCTGACAGATGTATATATAATATCTTAATAAAGAGGTGGATGAAATCCAAAACCCAAGTCATTTAAGAAGCAACGGGACTTTTATGGTGTGACTATGATTCAGCCCTATCAGGATGATCATCATACGCTTTTTAACCTATTGCTACAAAAAAATATCTTTCATAAGTCAGTTGATGCATCATATCAATTAAGAAGAAATGGGGCCTTTATGATGTGACTATTATTCGGTCCTATCAGGATGATTATCATAAACTTTTTAATCTATTGCAACAAAAAAAAAATTATCTTTTATAAGTCAGTTGATGCATCATACCATTTTCATGATACATTATACATTCAGGATCCATGAAGACTGGTAGATAAGGTTGGAGAGAAATGTATAGTGCAAGACTGCAAGTGATCTCCGATAATGACACTAACCTCAAAAAAGGGCCAGCAAATCATTGGACAATAGAAGGCGTCTTTTCTGGACATGATGTATGGCCCATTGTATACACCTCATGATAAAGGACATTGGTGATATTGGACTGGCGAAGAGGACAGAGGCAATAACAGAGAGCATCACTCGTTCATTTATAATCATCACTGCGTGCATGCAGAAATATAAAGACATATGATGAAATGTCACTTAACTTGCCACCAACTCTAGCTGAAGGCAACATTTACACTTCAAAGCTAAAGTACACAATAGAGAGTTAGGTAATTTACTTGTAAATGAGCAAGAGTTCACCATTCATTTCAAAGGCTATCAAGGAAAACGACCCATAGGACGAGGCTGCTCAGTATGAGGAGGAAGGCCTGATGACAGGAGGTGGTCTGGCTACAAGCATTCGGAAGTCGATGGGTCATGGCAGAATGCATCAGTTATAATCATCCAGATAGCACAGTGATTGAAGTCGGTTGATCCATTGGATTTCATCGAAGAGCAACAAATCAATTCAGAGGATGACACTTCTTCACCGATGTATCTACTCTTTCTAAGGTCCACATAGATGATAGTAAGATGGATAACAGTGCATCTACTAGTGATGATGGTCAAGGCCTAGAGTTTTATGTGCTCATTACTCATACATATAAAGTAAAGCATGGTCTAGGGAATAATATTTCAATCATCACCCAGGATCACTATCATGGTATATGCAGATCCACCCCATTTGTTTACGGCCAGAAGGACAATGGCAAAAAAAAGGCAATTGATGACTTCAAGGAGATAAGATCTCAAATCATACAAACTCCTCATGGTCATAATCTCCTCTCACTATGAACCTCATATCATAAATAATAATATCATGATGATAGTAGGTCCTTCTCATAATTCAATGCTTCATACAGCTCATAGTTCAACTATACTCGAGCAGGCATAGTCATATTTGTCATAGTGTGCCTAACCCAGTAACCTACTACCGCAAGTAATTGATGATGATACCACCACATATGCTACTATGTTTCATCAATAGCACAAAAAAAAATTGATATCAGATGCCAACAAAACAATTTCATGCATGGGTTCTTTAGAAAAATAATCTTAATCTACAACCGAGCCACAATGAGAACTTGTAACCATCTCCCATTGATACCGGAGAATATTTTGGGGGTAATAGGTCAGTTATAAGGTATGATGTGTATCATGTTTCATGTTTAGAACTTATACATAATATGATTTGCAATAAATCGTAAAAACTTTTTTGATTAATTATTTAGTATAAAATTTTAGCCAAAATTTAATTTTTGATTGATTCTTTAGTCAAAAACTTAAGTTTTATATTGATTTTAAAATTCATGTTGACATCAACTGAATTCATGTCGGTTGGTCCAGCCATAACAACATGCCAAACAAGGTGTACCACTAATGTACAAGTACATTCAAAGACCAATGTCACTTTTTCTGAGATTTTAATTCATAATAATAGCTATGTCACATTTTGCAAAAAACTAAGAAATTGACAAGAAAATAAATGCCACTTCATTTACATTGGTGCTTGGAGTTGGTAGTACCACTAGGTTTTGGGAATTTCAAATCTATTGCCTATGGTAATGTGCTTTATAAGTTCATTACTAAAATTATGCTAAAGGATTTAGTAGAATACGAGAAACACCAAGAGGAGTCATGTTGTCCTTGCTAGAGCCAAATGGATGGATCAAGTCTCAATTAATTCTAAGAAGGATTTATGCTCTGCAAATATAATGAAAGGCACATAAGGACAACCTAGTTAGGTTTCGCTCTGTGTTCATGTTATAAATGATAGATTGGTTGGCTCCAACCTGGCTTCAAAATTCAAATATCAAGTTCACTTGACCAGCAGAATTATGTATTTTGTTACATCAACCAACTGTTAATTTGGAAATGTCAAATTAATACGTAAAGGATAGTTGCACAGATGTAAACCTCTCAAAGCTTCTTTGATCTTTCTTGCAAATTCTTCTTGGCTTTTTACACCTCGAAGTTCCACTCGTCCCATCTGAGTGATAGAAAGCAACATATGAACCAAAATATCACTGGAATACGTTCACTATCTGGGAAAATGATATGTTTTATATGAATAATATATCACTAGATGGAATAGTTACATTAGCACCCTAACTGCAACTGAAAAAACTACTTAAATCATCAAAATAATGGAATATTATCTAAATCATATGAGCATATATATGCTGATATGTCAAACCTAAATCATACAAACACCTTTTCCTCCTTTGTCTTTCTCCTTCTTCCTCTTCCTCCTCTTTCTCCACTATGTCCTCTTCTTCCTTCCTCTAATCCTCTTCTGTACATACCAGTGTATGAAATGTCAGTACACAGGTATCAGTCAGGACGTGTTGGTCCAACCTAGGACGGGTTCAACACCATGGTACAAACTAGATTTTTAACCATGCAAGGCACTGTACCATCTCATGTTGCCTTAACTTAAGCTTTTGTGCCTCAAAACCAGGGAATAACTAGACGAGATTAATAAGAAAAATAATGGTTGCCTCTGTTATACAGTAAAAAATCTATTAATTAGCTAATTAAAGCCATCTTAAGACACATTGAGCTGCATATATACTATTTGTGCAATTATGCAAACTTCAGCTATATCTAGGAATGGAAAAGCATCTACTCTGATAACTAGTTTTGTTATCTTTCTGATTATCCCATAACAAGTTTCTTCACTTTCAGCTAAACTTTATACTTGATTACTCATATTATCAGACCAAAGAACAAACCACCATCTCCAAGAGATAGATACTTAAATTTTAGAAAAAATAAAAAAAAGTCACTAATTGAATGACTTCTGGACATAGTTAATTTTATAACTCATGGCATAATTAATCAATTTTTTTTGTACAGAAGCTAGTAAAAGTTATTTTATAACATATGTTTCACGTAACTTAAATGTGTGACACATTACCAATAATGAAACTATTGCATGTGGACAATTATAAAGTAGTCATGGGAGTTACTGAATAACACGAAATATATGTCAAGCATCTTAACCAATTGGATTGACAAACCATAAATATCAAATAAAGAAAATAAGCAGCAGTACCTGCAAGCCACCATATATCAAGTGCAAATGTGAATCAATAAACCCTGGCATTACAACATTCCCATTAAGGTTCAACACATAAGTTTCTTGGCCCACCAGGTCCTGCAATTCAGAAATTTAATATGCAACAAAAAGAAAGTTTCAATATCCGAGTATGAAGATTGCTAGTTTCTCAATGACAACAACGAGATCATGTAATATGAAAGACTACTACATTCATATTACTAAAGGAATCCATCGAACTCCGATGTTGAAGTGAAAATGCACTAAGAAAAAATATTGCAAACTGAGAACTAAAGTTGTTAAAAATACATACTGAGGGCTAACTAAATTTAAAAAAATGGAAAGCCAAGGGCAAAAGGATTCCGACAAATGCAGGCATAAGTATGAACAGATAGTATCATCATCAATGTAATTTCTAACTTCAATATTTATTTGTGGACAACATCCTAAGATAAGTGATGCTAGGAATGTCCTGAAAATACTTGCAAGTCCATGTAGCCAAATTGGCTCGTGGGATATGAAGTTCTTGGTAGACAAGATAGGCTAACCTATTTAGCAAAATTTTAACAACTGAGAACAATAGATGAATGGAGGCAAATAATATGTGTGTGAACACAATCATATATGCAGTAGTTATTCCTCCATCTATCTTGTACTCTATTTTTTAAAAGGGCGTACCCAATGCACAAGGCTCCCGCCAATGTGGGGTCTGGGAGAGTAAATGTACGCATATGGAATGCCTCTTCAGAACAATTTTCTGCATAGATGCTCCTTTTCCATGATATGCAACGCTTATCTCTCTGAAGCTGGTCTTGTAATTCTCTGATGCCTCTTCAGAACCAGGCTGTCAGGTTCTGGGATGATGTTTAGCTTTTCTCCTTCCCCTTTTCAGCTGTCCTATTACTTATTTACCCGTCATCTTGAATAGTTATAATCTGGTGGCCTTCATTCTGACCTGGAAGCCAAATGTATCTAGAAGCTATTCTGGTATAATTCACCGGCCAATTAACATGGTATATGTTGTTTCTCTCAACACTAATCAACCAAGGGCAAAAGGATTCCGACAAATGCAGGCAGAAGTATGAACAGATAGTCTCATCATCAATGTAATTTCTACCTTCAATATTTATTTGTGGACAACATCCTAAGATAAGTGATGCTAGGAATGTCCTGAAAATACTTGAAAGTCCATGGGGCCAAATTGGCTCGTGGTTGGTTCGTGGGATATGAAGTTCTTGCTAGACAAGGGTCAATCAGGCTAACCTTTTTAGAAAAATTTTAACAATTGAGATCAATAGATGAATCGAGGCAAGTAATGTGTGTACACAATCATACATGCCAGTTTTTATTCCTCCATCCATCTTGTACTCTCTTCTTCAAAAAATAAAATATTATATGTATAGAAAAGCAATATTCAGAGTTGTACAAACTATTATGAAAATTCATTTTCTAGGTCATATTCAGAACTCTATTACTGAGTGACTAAAAAAATTAGTTAAAAGCAGTAAAACTGCAAGATTGTGTCAATAAGATGTGAAATAAGTATAAGAAAATTAAAGATGAGAAAGAAAAAAAGGAATAGGTGAAGAAAAATAGAAGGAAAAACGAAAAGGACAATCAGTAACAGCATCAAAACCCTGATCCTAGATGGGGTAACCAAAACATGAGGACCTTAAACCAGAATAAAGCATGCTTGAAGATAATCCCAGTTTCTTAAGAGACTCCCTTGAGCTATTCAAGGGTTGATTAGTGTTGAGAGAAATAAGATATACCATGTTGATGGGCCAGTGAATTATACCAGAATAGCTTCCAGATACATTGGGCTTCCCGGTCAGAATGAAGGCCACCAGATTATAACTATTCATGATGATAGGATAAATAAGAAATAGGACAGTTGAAAAGGGGAAGGAGAAAAGCCAAACATCATTCCAGAACCTGACAGTCTGGTTCTGAAGAGGCATCAGAGAATTTCAAGACCAGCTTCAGATGAGAGAAGCCTTCCATACCATGGAAAAGGAGCATCTATGAAGAAAATTCTTCTGAAGAGGCATTCCATATAAGTATTAAAAGATCAAGTCTTACCACAGAATTGAAGGATCCCAAGTTGCACTGATTGGAATACAACCACTTCACCTTTTAGGCATATGTGACTGGGTAGTTTGGAGCACATGGTGTAACTTGCATGATGCTCTCATCGATTGGATCAGCGTAACAGGGTAAAGGCAATCCCTATCAAATCTCGCTAATCAATCATTCATCATAATCATCAAAAAAATTGATTTTTAAGTGAAAATCTAATGGATGACTGGTAGGGAATGGTGGTAAGGACAGCTGAATAGTGCAAGATCTCAAACAAAAATTGTTGGGAACTATGCCCCGTAACTTGTGCTTCTCCACGTCAAAGTTAGACTCCCAGGTAAGTTGACAGGAAAACAGTGTTTATTGATGGAAAAAGAGAATAACATTGTCCAAAAAGATAGCACTGAGGCTTAGACTACCTTTACAGCTTCTACTACCTCGTAGTTATAATAGGAATCTGTTTTATGATTAAAACATACTAGATATTTGCTGCTAAAATCTTCTGTTGATAGCTTTGATGATGCTCTTAACGAGGCTCCTAATTGTGCCAACATCCCCTTATGGGATGTGCAATCATGAGAGGAGGGGAGACAGTAGAGGTCGTTGCCTTCTATGCCTTGTCCAGACTAGACTGTTAAGCCATTTACATTTCAAGGGTAAGAACTATCTGCCATATGTTGAACCAGTTTGGAAGGTCAATGGTACTGTTGTACCAAATCCTCATAGGCCTTATTTCGCTGAGGACAAGAATTGCCAATCTTCTGAAGTTGTTTCTGCTGCCACTAATTCTGCCAATGCTGCATCTTCTAATGCTATCCTGCTGCTTCAACTTCTCTGTAGTCTTGTTTTCACCAAGAGAGGAATAGCATCCAAACAGTCTACTGTGCAGTTTCATACACTAAACCAAGCTTGAATCATCCCTTTGAACCTTGGAGAAATTTCATCTGATATTCCAAATAAAGGTCATGTTTCTACTTTAAGAGTGATGTACCTGAATATGCACCAATTGTTGCGGCAGTGAACCATGTTCCTGTCGGTCATCTAAATGATGTGTGAGGCAGTTATCAGGCATCCTCACTCAGTGCTGACTCATAAAAACGAGCCCTTATCTGGACTTGGACATGTGCATTACTATAAATTTAGCTGGGTATGCTAAAACGGCAACTCCTTGGTTTCAATCAAGTTTTATGCCAACTTAGAAACACCAAGTTACTTTGTGCCAAAGAAAGCAATTTCACCTGTTCTGATACTGTTCAGCCAGTATTTACCAGTCCGATTGCCACCAGGATGCAGGTGACTTAAAACCAGGTAGTCAGATCCAATTCATGACAAAAACAGATTTTACTTTTAGGTAAAAAGAGAAGTCACCCATTAAAAGATACATCTAGGGCTCACGAGGAGTCCTGCCAAGAGCCCCCTTCTTGCTGCTGGCAGCATGCCCATCTCCTCTTCGTCCTTCTTCTTTACCCCCACCCAAACCAACAGTGCCACAGTACGTTCTGGGTCCCACAACCTAAAATTGCAAACCTTGCTTTGTGCTACCACAATCAATCAAACTTAAACATATTTCAGCCTTTAATTATATCTTGGATCTTGAAGATCACAATATTAATAATTAATGTAGAATTATGGAAGATGTTATTTTGCAAGTTATGATATCTGCAAAATACTTTCTAATTAATAAAATTTATTCAAAAATATATATTAAAATGGTCTTGTGTCAACAATACTGGTATAATTGAACCTTTCTGAGAAATGTTTGATCTAATATTGTCTACCAAAATGAATGTTACAATGAGACCCAATTACAGATCAAGCACTGAACAATTTCTTTCTTCTTTTTTACATTAAAATCACTCTAGTGAGCTGCAGATCATATGTTTCCAACAATGATAGCAGTATGATATTGCAATGGATGTCTTAGGATCATAAATCTAATTCACCTTCAGTCCAAACCAGTATGCAATTAGACATATATTAGCAGCTTGAAGTTCTAAATAGTCAATGTTGGTACTAGTTAGGTAGTTATACTAAGCAAAACTCAAATCACATTGGCAACTTAAAGTTCTAAAAAGCCAATGCCAATACTACTTTATGCAGTTGCACTAAGCAAAACTATAATCACATAAGAAGGCAGTGCCAACATCCATGATAAAAATGTGTTAACCTTAAATGTGAAACAAGCATCAGCTGATCCAGTCCAAGCTCATATTTTGTCAAGCGCACAGCCTGAATGATCAATAAATCAATATTTTGTCAATTTTCTCAGGACATGTCAATTCAGTTGGAATCTCAAGGTAATCAACGCACAGAGACTTCTTTCCCCTTTCAGGATATGCCAATTTAGTTAGAACCTCTAGGTAATCAATAATTCAATACACAGATACTTCATTCCATTTCCATGCTAGGTTCAACCTACTCTTATTCAAGTTTTTAGCCTCTCCTGAGCATCAAATCTAGTTTCCTCTGTTATAAGTAAATATCTAAGCTTCTTTGGGTCATGAGTTCTCAGATATACCTCAACATAGTGATGCATAGTCCCGCATAAAAAACAATACGTTCATGCTTTCAAAACAGCATGATTAAAGCAGCTCAGTTCCTCCATTTGCACAAATCAATAGTAAAGGAATTCCTACAAGATCAATTTAAATGGTCGAGTTTCTTTTAGTTCAGTGAGAAACAAGTAACTTTATTGTTGATATTTCTAGTTTAAGAAGCACAGAGACAGACATGGGACAGGGACACAGCGACACATCATTTTTTAAAAAATTAGGACACATACACGGCGAGGACACATGTGTGTGTATATATATTATACTAATATGAGTTGCATGACATTTATACTTAAATTTTATAAACTCAGCAATATGAACAAATAAATATCATCATACAGATTTAAACAATTAAAATTATCTAAATGTAGGTATCCAAAATAAATATTGAGTACATCAAATAATATTTAACAATGTCTAGATATAACTGATATATGTTTCCTTGCAACACCGACGATCCGTGTCCACATAGAATCTGAAGCAAACGGCCCTCATGTGAGGGCCATGCAAGCGCAACGTTGCACGCGAGGGTCACGCAACAAAGCGCATGAAAGCAAACCAGAAGCAATGCCATGTCCAACAAATAGAAATGAAAATAAATAAATAAACATGACTGGACATGTGTTCAGCCATGTCGACGACATATACTTGTCTAACATGCGTCAGACACGAACAAGTCCACCAAAAGCATGTGTTCATGCTTCTTAGTTTCCAGTTATGTCACATGGAACATGATCAAAGGGTGCAATTCACATAAGCTCTAAATCTTGATTGTCTTTTAAATTTTAAAAGTGCAGCCAAGAGCTAACATTCAAAAGATGAATGGAACTACAAGGGGAATCAAAGACAACCTTGTATGTACTTTTTGGTCCAACTCATAACTCGAAGCTATCAAGTTTCTCCATGTGCTCATACCCCCTAAATATATTCAACATAAACTGATAGATAAAACATTTGTATTAATTCTAAAATGGCATCGCCACAACACCTACGCTTACAATTAACCTACAACACTAAACCTGGATTTGAATAAATAGAGAGGCATTGAAGAACTCTTAGAATTCAGACTCTGTAGGCTCATGAGGAATTATCCGCTTTGGACGTGCCCACATAGTTTTGCCCTTTCGGGACTCGTGAGCCTCAAAAGGCATCTCTGAAGGTAAAGGTGACCCGACGGGCTTATAAGTCTTGGTTCTCCTACTTCTCAACCAATGTGGGACTAAATGTCCTTATTAGTGCTCTTCCCTAGGGAAGCCGAAGGTTCAGGCCCTCCTTCTAGAACCATTCTGATAAGTCAATATTTGATCGTCATTGGTACGACCCCGTAGGCCTTTTTGAGGCTCACGAGCCTCGAAAGGGCAAAACTATGTGGGCGGACAATTCTTCGCGAGCCCACCGGTTCGCACCAATGATGACCAAATGTTGACTTATCAGTTTCATTCTTGATTTCCTCGAATTTTTACTCACAAACAACACGAGACCAACCAGCGTCAACGGCCGATACAAATAATAAACACAAAACAGAATAGATTTCAAGAGGTAGGTAAAGTTCAAACACCTCAACAGAGGAATAGCTGCCGACTCGGAGAATCCGGCCGCCTCGGACGGCCATGGCTTGGGCGAAAGGAAGGGATGGGTCGCTGGTGTAGATGGTCGCATTCATGACCACAAGGTCCGCCGAAATCCGACTCCATTTCCACGGACTCCCTGCGATTCACAAAGCACGACACAGTTTTAGCCCTCCCCAAGTCATTCCCCTATTGCTTCACCATCGATTTCATTCTCAACTAGTAGTAAGATTGTGAGACTAGTAGCAGAGAGGGGGTACATGTGAGGCGCAGAGCCGGAGCGAGGATGAGAGCGAAAAGGGCGGCAGCCACCGCAGAGAGGGACGCGAGGGCGGTGGTTCTACTGGCCATACCAATAACAGGAGTACGCAGCGAGGGGGTGACGGCGGTGGAGCAATTTTGGGTCATTGGTAGTATAGTAATCAGCGGTGGGTTTTGGTAGGTAGAGTATTTGGGATTAAGGAAATCGTTTCAAGTTTTTGTTTTGATTAGAAGAAATTTTCGTTTGATTTTTCTAATTAAAAAAATTAATTTATTTGATTTTCGTTTGATATTATTCTAATCCATTCGAATGTCTCAAATTATATATATATATATATATATATATATATATATATATATATATTATTAATA